TTGACTGGTCGATACAATGAGTGATCTGTGTAACGGAGAATGAAAATCATATCTATATTTGGAAGGTTTCTCCTGTTCAATGAATCCTATAATGATCCATATCATTAACCTGCTCAAACCCACACCAGCATCATCAGAGGAATTAAACGTTGAAACTATCAAGGATATTTTTGCAGAACTTGAAATTTGTGACGATGAGAATGATTCTTCAAAAAGGATAGACTTAGACAAACCCATGCAGACAGTCGGAGTTTTAGAGAAGGTCAAGGAAACTTTGTACCGTGCAATGCGTTATTATTGGAAAAAAGATAACAACGAATCATATTTACCTTCCATTATCGATCCTCGTGTCAAAAGGTTTGATTTTGCGCCTGACAAAATCAAACAGGTTCAGGATCTGTTAAGAGTCAGATACAGTATCATGATATAAAAGATAATCTATCAACAGCAAATCTAACATCCACTGCTAACATTTCGTTATCCGCTTCCTCCTTTTATAACACTACTGTTTCTCCGTTTTACAAACCAACACTTTTAAACATATTTAACAATTCATCACCTCTTAATTCACAGAACGAGCCGGATGAATACCTTGCGGTTCTGCAGGTACCTTTTGGGTCTGACCCATTCGCGTGGTGGAATATGAATAAAGATAGGTTCCCCGTACTAAGCAAGTTGGCACGTATTTACCTCGCAGTTTCGGCGACGTCCACACCTTCCGAAAGGTTATTCTCTGATTGTGGTAATCTATTGGGTCCCAAAAGGACACGCATGAGCCCCGAATTCTTCAAACGCTTGATGTTCCTGAAAAGGAATCACAGCATTTTAGATAGCATTCACCCATAAATATAATAACAAGAATTTATAAATTATTAGTAAAAAATACCAATTTTATATATTTGAATAAAAATTGTATGCACATTCGTGCATGCATTCATTTTCGTCGCATGCATGCGAATGATGAATATCAATGCGTAAATCCCTTTTTACTTTGTCTTTTTTTTGAGTGACAAAATTTTTAGTACGATGCTGTTTTGTTTATAATGAAAGAGTCAACGTTGATATTTTACTAAATAAAAATGAATATCACGAAAAATTATGCGGCAATTAGGTTCCAGCTGCCGTAAACTGTGCAAGGAACTCGTGTTTGGTGTTTAGGCTCTGTGGTTGCTGTAGGCAGTGTAAGGACCTATGCCTTAGTAGCCAATTCTCATTATAGATATGTGATTCTTTCTTGGCTACGCTTCTGGTTACGATATGTTTAAAAGTGGTCATAGATATATAATGGGTTATAAGATGTGAATTGTTTGATATTGATATAGAGCCTGTAAAGCTTGTAAATGATATCGAACGGAATTCCCATATGTTCTTCCTCGTGATTGAGCAATAATAAAATAAGCTTTAATAAGTTTTTTATCATTATTTAAAAAAATTTTTTTTACTATAAAAAAAAAGCCGTGCGGCCGTGTCACCCGTCCATGATATGAAAACCAAGTATATAATTTTGTGCGGCCTAATTATATATTTTTTAAGTAAATTTATTAATTATTAAAGCTTGGACAATCTTGGACGTTTGAACATAGTAACGTGACAATACTGATTAACACTACTAAAATATTCTCGGAATACTTTATCATGCAAATGTTGGCTTATATTACATTAATAAATCAAGTGAATATAAGTATAAATTTATTTATTTTGATTGAAAAATATTATTCAAATTATATCTAGGAATAATCATTATAGGGTATCTTTATCGGGGAGGAAAACATCGGCTTTCTAAATTTCAAGTTTGTTGGTGTCACTTGATTTGTATTTTTTCGGGTCAAATTTTGGTACTTGGTTGCTTCTTTATTCACAAGATCCTAAAAGGATATTGTGTAATTAAATGACCTATAATAATAAATTACTTTCAACTGCCTACCTGAACTGTAGCCATCACTTGAAAACAGCTCATGAGTGTTCCCCAAGTTGTTGGATCCTCCGGAAATCTAAATTCTCCGATCAATATCAGACGATAGATCCCATCATAAAGAAGATCAATAACATAGCATCTACCAATATAACCTAAAATGTAAAGAAAGTTCATAAATAATTCATTTTATTATAAGAAACAGCCACACATTTAAGGTAGGGGGCATGGCAAAATTTTTGGGCATGCCCTGGGTCACCGTACCCCCAACCCTACACACACCGATGACATGAAGCCCACAAATAACAATATCAACCCCATCGTCTAATGACTTATCCAATGATGCTCGCATCATTTTACCCAAAGCTACCAGATCTTCATTTACTAAATTTGATCGCGCATTTGGTGGTTTTATTTCAGCGAACATCAATTCAATAGATTTTCTTGGGTTAGTAGTCCTTATTGTAAAATCAGGCTTTGAACCAAGAAGGATAGGGTCAAATTGCTTTTTAATCCAAGCAGACGATTCTGATGTTCTGTTTGCCCTAGATTCAGATGAAATAAAAAATATATATAAGTTATACTTTTAATATCATATAAATTACTTTGTATACGTACCAGTCCATAGTTGTTTTTTTACCTTCCGGAAAAAATGGTTTAATCACAGAGTCAAGATAGTTATGAGAATGTGTGTCTTCAATTTTATTATTTTTAACAAACGAATTTTGATAACTGTCGGACCTAAATTATGCAGGATTTACGTTAAAATATGCGTTCAAGGTGGAGTTTTGCAGTAATATATAACCTTCAAACAACTTACAAACGATAAAGAATATCATGCATTATTTCTTCAAATTCTCCATTAGTATTGTAACTTCTTAGATAACTTTTTATTTCGGTTCGACGCTGTCGAGGGTCCTGTTGCTTGGATGCGATCTGAAAGTGTATAATAGCTTAGATGTTAAATTGCATGTATCTTAAGAATAATTTTCTCATTGAAGATTTCTACCTTCACAACTGTTCCGCACAAATCAAAGACACGTTCTGGAATATCTACGTAAGAATATTGTGTACGAATTTCTAAAAAAATGCACTGCCATAACTCATCATCGAAGAATTCACGAAGTCCTTGTAAATTCTCTTCTTGGAATAGAAATACGTGACTTAAAGCACTGTAAAAGAAGTGAATTAATTAAAGTGTATTGATAATGATCAAGAGTCAATATTATACATACAGTTCTTCATCAGAATTTAATATTGCCCTTGCTTTGCATTTTTCAACTATAGAAGCTCGGTATTCAGCACAAATGACGGAAATATCTACTTCATTAATGATCCACTATTGATAATAAAAAATTACATAACTATCTAACTGCAAATATAATTTGCAAAATCTTTAATTACTTACCCTAGTAGCACCTTCTATTAGGTCCCATTCAACATTTCCGAGTCCTATAAAATAATCAATGTAATATGGCTTTTTTGTCTTAATTGAATTTTCTGAAGTCGGAGAATCAAAATATGGAACATAGGATGCATCCGTTGATGCAGATGAGAATGTTGTATTTTTGTTCTCTAAAGTTTTGTCTATAGGTGGTCGTAAGTTGTACGCTTTATACAGTGGCTGCGGTGGAGTAGTATATTTAGTCCTTTTGATCTCTTGCTTATCATCAAAATCATTGTCCTAGGATCAAATACATTGATTCTCAATTTCTTGCTAAAAAAAAAAAAAAAAAAAAAAAAAAATACATACACCTTCTTTTTTATCTCTTTTTGATGTGGAATTGAAAGTTCCATTATTACTAACTCCAACTACAGAATTACCAGTAATTGTCATCGTCGGATTGTAAAAATACACAGAGCAATCATTAGCTGATTTACGCATCTCCCATTTTCTTGCCAACTTATAATCATTTCGAGGTTCCTTGTAAAGAAAATTAATAAAATTAATAAATTAGTGATATTCTTAATATACTTTAATTTTCTAATTATTTTTCACACTCCATCAGGTCAGCAAAAAGCCTTGAACATCAGACAACCAAGAAAGCCACCTGTGCCCCAATGGGACCGGTGTTGAGTCAGCAAAAAGCCTTGAACGTCAAACAACCAAAAAAGGTCACTTGGGCCTCACACCGGCTTTGTGGCTCAGCAAAAAGCCTTGAATGATAAGAACCGAGAAGGCCCCTATCACGCCACTTAGCTTCTTCCCACATCTCTAGTCAAAAAATTTTACTCGCCTCCTTATACATTTTGAGAAGTATACGCGCTTTTTCAAGTCTTTTTCCATGTTGTTCTGAGGCAATAATGTTATTAAGAGACTTAATATAAGCGTCTATCTTCTTGTCAAAGGGTTCAATGTTACTTTCATCCAAAAAGCTTAGAATTCTCCAATCTGATGAATTACGGCTGAAATACGTATTCATGGATTTCATTTTGCATAATAATATTATCAGTATCTTATCAGTTATAAAAAGAAAAATTTTTAAAATTTTATCCCCGAATCTGTGATCTGATAGTACGTATTATCGTTATTCCATCCGTTCAATCCAGTGAATCCATGTGAATTGATGATTATCCGTACAGATGCACACGATAGTTATACGAATATGCGGATTGCAGATCCATCCGTACGGATAAATGCGTGATCCGTATCATCCGGATCACACCACTATTCAGTAGTATTAATAAACATTTTGTGCTATTGCATAAACTGGATGATTTATTTGTTACGTTAGAAATTGGCCCATTAATGTTAATGCAGGCAGGATGATATTTAATGCAGGCCAGATGATATGCTAATGCAGGCCAAATAATCTCATATTAAAAATCCCGCGCGGGTTTCCGCGCGGATCCCGCGCGTGGCCCATCTCTAGTTAAAATATACATTAGATTTATCAAAATATTAAGATTTGATTGCTTAATTAGATTATTCATGATACTTACGTATTTCTAATTTACCTAAGCAAGTGGCAGTATATCCATGAGTGGAATAAAATACTAAGGGTTCAATATCCAAAATTAAAGTTTGATTTTTCGGATTCTGAGCCTATATCAGGACCCAGTTTCACTTTCTCTCTATCTAAATATAAAATTTAGTTTATAACTCCGACGGCATCTAGTTGCCGTCGGAGAATCTAAAATCTAGTTATTTTTTGACCATTTAAAGGAATTTTTTATAAGCTAATCTTTGTCTCAATCATTTCTTAACAAAATTTTAAAGAGCAGAAATACATGAAGATCATATTTATAAATGTTTCTTAAATGATGTAATAATATTTTAAACCTTTTACCTTAACTACCTTGTGTTTGAGGTGGAGAAGTATTCGCAGATGCACTCGCATAACGATAAGTATGTTGATCCCTTTTTTATTTGCACTGACATCGCATAATCAAAATTTTCTTATATCGCATAAAAATGCATTTTAAATTAGACTAGGTGACCAGATTATGCGGTTTCAATTCACTTTACATTGTTTAAACAATTCGAAAAATTACCAGACCACATAATCTGGTCACCCTAGTCTGGACACTCTACTACCAGGCTTTTGACGATCCCAATTACCTCTCAAATGCCCCATTAAACTAAATGTTACATGCCTATTATATCAATTTTTCGTACTTTTATTTATTATAACAATAATGTTCTCATGTCACCGACCATAATAGTGTCCATAATGCTAAGGAGATAAACCAAGTTTTTATGATTAAAGCGTGAACTTCTTGGCATCTTTTTCTATTATTGCTGTTATAAATTAATGTTTGGTCAGTTTTTTTTTAAACAAATATTTTATATAAAAATAAAATTTACAGTACTTAATAGCATTCTTAAAGCTTCATGGTTATTTTGTAAAAATTTTATCAGTCTAAGGATTTCATTTATTGATCTGTGAACTTCGATAGTTAAATTCTCATGAATTTTTTTACTCAATTCACGAATCTCTTCTGTCAACGACTTCAATTGACTATCACTCTGTTTTTTTAATTCAAATTGACTACTTATTTTACCTATCATTATTTCATTTTCATTTTCATTTTTGGGGACTACAAATTTCAATTAACTTAAATCAATACATATCAATACATTACTGATAACATTAAAATAACATTAAAAAATATAACTCACTAATATTGTTCAGAATATTTTTGATCTCTTGATTTGATATATTTATTTTTTCTACCTCATGATTTAAAGAATCTATTTTCGACTCAAATTGATCAGCGATCTTAAAAGTCAAATTTTTTGTTTCATTTCCAGATAATTCTATATAGTACAATGAGTTTAATTAGCTAAAATTTGATTGATGCTAATATCAAAATAAATTCATAATTACTATTTTCATCCAATGACTTTTGAATATTTTGGATCTCATTGTTTAATAAACCTATTTTGAATTCTACCTGTTCTTTGATTCGATTCATCGTGCCTACCAATTTAATTTCATGCGTCACATCTAGCAAAAATATTTATTTAGAAAATATGTTTAGCTAGCAGTTAATAAAATAATTTCGCGGCTGAAGCTGGAAACGGAAATTTTAAATAAATATGAAAATTTCAGATTTTTTTGGAGGTGCTTTTTTTTATAGTTAGCTTAGGATTTAGGGTTAGTTTTAATAATAAAAATGTTTAAGTGGATTTTTGTATGGTTTATATTTCAAATCAAGGTCCCTAATTTCCAGCTTCAGCCGCGACAATAATTAATCACAAACCTTCGTTAGTTGCTTCTTGATTTTGTTGTTGTTTTATATTCTAAAATGATTTTTATAGAATTAATCTTTATAATTTTATGTACAATAATAAATTCTATACCATTGAACGATTACATTCTCTTCTTTTAATTTATCCATAGCGATTATGTACCCTTTTTTTTCTAAATTTAATTTAGCTAAAATGATTTCGTAGGATTTGTTTTCTTGCCTCAAACTATCTAGCTCATGTTTTATTTCAGCTTCATTTTTCTGATATTCTTTTCTAAAATTTACCATTTCTTGTCAGAACGAGTTTCTAATTATATAACAACTAATTATGAAAAAAACATACACTTTCGATTTTAAGCCAGATATTTGCTTTTCCAGTTCATTATGATTACTTTTTTCAACATAAATACTTAGAAATTTTAAAGTTAGAATTATTTTTAACTATATGAAATAAAATATCAATTAAATTTATACCTTGTCTCAAGAGTTTTAATGATTTCATTTTTGCTAGTTATATCTTTATTATAACGAGAAATAGAAACCCCTTTGTCTAAATTACTGTCAAGGTTATAGATTATATTCTCTAACTTTTCGATCCGACTCTTCATGTATTGATCAAATTCGTGTATATTGTCAAGATTGTCTTCATCTAATATAATTTGATAGATAGATATTCTCATATCGTCAGTATTATTAAATATTTCATTAATAAAATTAATGGGCCCGTCTTTGTAAGTATTTTCATTCTTTAAAATAGTTTCTAAGTAATAGAAACACTTAAATATAAAATCAGAATCTTTGGATATTTTAAGATATAACTTTGTTATAATATGTTTCAACTTTTCTTCAGAAAAGTTTCCACTTATTCTTAGCCATTCCTTGAAACATCTGTCTAGGATTATGCATAACCATTGCCATTCGATGTTCGTTAACTTGCTTTCTTGATTATTTTCAAAAATACTGCCTAATTTACTAGAAATCACTTCAGAAATGTTAAGCAAATATGCTAAATACTACTGTATATTTACATTAAGGTAAGCTTACAAATTTTTAAAAATATCATTTATCATTTTTATAGTAAGGTCACTAATATCTTTTTCGAATGCTTGCTTTACATTTATTAACAAAGAATCTCAGTATTCATATTCATTAAGAATAGGAACAAGGAAACTTAAACAGACCCATTTAAGAAATTCGTCCGATTGGTTTTGCATTTTTTAAACTCGATTAACATGATAATAAATATTGTTTTGGTCATATAAATAATTTTCGAATGTATTGTTCCAACAGATTTGATCATAAATGATTTAGAGTTTAGAATAGGGCAAATAAACACTTGTGTCAACGATAGCTTGATTGTAATGAAATAATTACCTTAACCTTCATTCTTGGATTAGTAGCATGTTGGATAACGTTCAATTATTATGCCATTCGACCAATTATCCATACACATGCATCTTTTGACACTATTTAATTGATTTAAGCAAATCAAAAATTTCAAATAAAATTTTAATATTTTCTATGAAAAAAAAAAAACAATAATTCGTTGCAAAATGTTGCCAGTTATATAGTATATTTAAATAAGCACGAAGCTGTGCTCTAAATTAAATATTAAGAATTAAAACAAATTGATATAAAAAGTTTATTTTTAATGAGTCAAGCAAATTGGTCCAAAATTCAATATAAAAATTATTATTGCGACGATTAAGACGTTAAAATTATTTTCACTAATATTACTGTATTATGCATTATTCCTTAAATTTTGTAAATTGAAATTTAATTAATGTATAAGAAGCATTTTGCAAAACAAAATTTTCAAATAAATGTTTGAATATATTAGTGAATTGCAATTTGCTTATTGTTGTAAATGAATAATTATATATTTCGCATATATATCTATGCAAAATTATAATAGCAGTTAAGTTATAATAATTATTCATAAGTAAGTATTCAATTAATAATATATATTTTAAATTTTCAAATTTTATATAAAATATAAAGTCATTTAGCTTAATTCAGCAATCTTGAAAAGAATGTCAAAAAAACAAAAAACAAACCACGATGAGTATAAAAATCTGTATCAGACAGGTATTCAAAGTTTCAATAAAAGGAAATACAAAACTTCCTACAATTGTTTTTTTTCAGTTGCCTACAGTGGTTCAGAATTCGAATATGATGCGAAATTTTTTTTAGCAAAACACAATGAAAATGGATTTGCAATTTCTAAAAATTATAATACAGCCTTTGATCTATATTCACAAGTTTCTAATAGTTTATCCAAATACAAATATGAAGCCAAACTTTGGCTAGCATCGCATTTTGAAAATAAAAACGATTACCAAGAAGCTTTTGAATTTTATTTAGATATATATTATGATAAACCTAAAAATATTAGAGGGGTTGAATTATTGTTGGCTGATCATGTTGAGAAAGGATTAGTGTTTTTAAAGATGACAAAAAAGCATTTGAATTTTATTATTATCTTTATAATAACGTTCCAGAGTACGCAAGTTTTGCAAGGAATCATTTAATAAAATGTTATAATTTCGGGATTGGTGTTGGAAAGGATGAAGAAAAAGCTTATAAACTTGGAATCGAAAATATATCAAATAAAAAAATTTAATTATACACTCGACCCTTGTTAATATCAACATTATTAATATCAAATTAAAAAAATGGATTTCTGATGCTGAAATTTTCCGATTTTGAATTTTTTGAGATCCATTTGGATCTTCTTTAGTATAGGTGGGCAATATAAGAAATAAACTTCACTAATGATTAGTAATCATTAATTTTTTAATAGCAGAGTTGCGGAGTTAGTCATTAGTAAAAAGAGTATAGGTGGACTGATAATGTTAAGAAATGATAAGTGTAAGCTAAGAAAAACATAAAACTTTCGAATATATTAGGTGCCACACTAATAACTAACAAGATATATGTACTGTACATACGAAATGGTAGAATGTGGTACAGATTAATAGATTCGAACAATACATAATTAATTATCCAATTACATTACTTAAAATCTTTATTATATTAATCTAATAAGGGACTACAAATAGGTTTGATTTAATTAGTTGACCAAACACCCCAAGGGTGACAGTCTTTTAATTTTTTGAATTGCCTTTAGAGTTAATATTACTAAAAAATTTATCTAAATCAATTCAATTTACTTTATCTACATAACCTGGTTGCAAAACCATCCATATTTTAATTTTTTTTATAGACTTAGGCAATGATTTTGCAAGTAATCTTCTAATTTCATACTTTTTAAATTAACAACAAAATGATTTTGATATAGTATTAAATATTGCAAGCTTGGAATCCAAGGAATCTAGAACACGTGTAATTAATCCAATCGAAAAATCTACAATGTTTGGGCAACTTTCAAAAATTGTTTCAAAAATTCTTTCAATTTTATCTCCGCAAAGTGGACCTATAATTTTACCAAATTATGTTTACCAGAGTTGCGAATTAATTCTACCACCAAAATATTTTACCAGAGCTACAAATTAATTCTACCAAAATTATGTTTACCAGAGTTACGAATAATTCCACCCAGAGTTACGAATTAATTCTATCACCAAAATTATATTTACCAGAGTTACGAATTCATTCTACCACCAAAATTATGTTTACCAGAGTTACGAATTAATTCTACCAAAATTATGTTTACCAGAGTACGAATTAATTCTACCAAAATTTTTATGAGAACAAGCAAAACCAAAAAATTTTCGCTAAGAAAAAACATTTCGCTATTAGGTTAGGGTTAGGGTATTGCAAGTAGGTTAGGTTTAAAAGATTATAGTTATACCAAAATTTTGCGAGGAAAACTTTTTGTTAATACGCAGAAGGCAGTTTCATAGACTAAATTTTGAGTTATAGTAATTTTTGACAAAACGACCATTTGTTTTGATCATACAACATTACACCTGATCTTGAAATTTGATTGGCTGCGAAATTTTTTTGCCTGGCGATTTTAGGGTTGTTCTTTTGTTAACTACTGTACGTCATGGGCTGAAATTTGTCTGATTGGCTAGTTTTGTAGATCAATTTGTGATTATTAGCCAATCAAATCACATAATTTTATTGTACTAGAAACAAAAACCTCAAGAAAAAAATTTATATAAATCGATAAATACAGAAATAAGCAGAATTCTATACATATAAAAGATAGATAAACAAATATAGAGTAGGGCAAAAGTGGTGTTTATTACTAAACAAAACCTGAATCACTAAGCCTACTATCTATAAACCTAGATTGATCTATTAAATCTAAGTATGTTTTAACAAACTAAGCTAACTTGAGAATATAATAAATACAAAACCCAGATCTCACGCGAACAAGCTTGTCTTGCTTCAACCACCTAACCAGAAATCTCAATCTCTAAAAAAAAGAGACAACTGTTCTGTTAATAACTACTTTTGTTTTTGTGTATTTTAAAATTCAAACGTGGCTTTTTTCTGTACCTCTTTCAAAAAGTCATGTCTAAGCTAACTTTTCTGTGAATAAGATTATAAAAGATTAATTTTAGAGTTAACTTTCTAACTCTTTTTTGAAGATAGAAATAATGTTTGTGATGATTTTTTGCTTGTGTAATTTTGCGTTCCCAAAAGTACTTTAAAGTGTATAAATAAGTTACCCAGGCAATTGATTTACACCAGCCAATCAGACGAATTTCAGCCCATGATACTGTATGTGCTACATGTGGCCTAGGGTGTTTGGAGCAGGGGTGAACGTTCTTGGTTACACAAATTGCAGATCACTTCTGAGAATTGATGACCAATCAAAATCATTAATTTTAAAAATAAAAAAATAAAAAAAAAGCGAAAAAAATTGAAAAATAAGAAGAAATTAAGTATTTAAAATTTTAAATTTATTAAAATAAATGTAGTGGACATTTTTGTGATAAATAAGTATGTTTCTTTATTAATTTATTTATATTAACCCTTGATTAATTCCTTTATATTATTAACTAATAAACTAATTTCTACTACATACCGTAATAAAAAATAATAATTTTTGATACAATTAGCTTATATCTAATGTAAAACCCATATATCTTATGTAAACTCTATGTATACGTAATATAACTTCTACAGTCTTTTACTACATATTAAAGGCATTTCTGATATTAGTACATATATCGATTCTCAATACGTATATCCTTGAACAAAAAAAAACTATATGCGTAGTTAGCTATTTACTATTATTCATTAATTGGAAAATCTCTATGCAGAACATATAATAATAATTAAATAAACCAATATATTTAATATATTACCTTTGCTGAATCGTTGCTTTTTAGTTTTGCTTTTTTTTCTTTCATTTGACGTGCAAAATTTAGTCAACTTGGTGGTTTTATACTTTCAACTATATATCTTTTAGACGTAACTTTGCTGAGACGTAGCAACACAACGGTGTGGGATTAACTGGGATTAAATAAATATGTTATAGTATGGTTCGAATACTTGAAGTTTGCTTAGAAGACTCATTTACCTTTTATAGCAGGATAAGTTATGCGAACTTCCCAAAAAAGTATTGTAAAACAATATAAAAAAGTCCTTTATCAATTGTGTAACTGATCTACAAATGATGGGACATTCACCCCTGCTAGTGTTTGGTCAACATAATAAATCAAACATATGTATAGACCCATATAAAATCGGTATAATTGAG